GCAGAGCTCACCCCGCCCGCCTCGCAGCCACAACACCCGCCGCCCCGCAGCGGCCCGCGCAGCTGCCGTTACTTTTACCGTTCCCGTTCCCGCGGTCCGGCGCTGGAGCCGCTCAGGAGAGACTACCGCCCCGCTGCGCTCCGCGCGCCGCGATTGGTCCCTTTCCCTGTCACTCAGCCGCCGCGATGTTTACGGAAGTGCTGTCAGGCCGCGGCGAGTGGCGGAGGTGCGTGTCACGTGATGCGCCCGGGAGCTGCGATTTGGCGCGCGGTGACGGCGAACGTGGGGTCCGGGTTCGCGTCCCCAACCCGCCACAGGGCAGCTCTCCTCCATCACGGCGTCTTCTGCGGCAGGTCTGAAGCAGTAAGAGCGTGATGGTTTAGTTGTGGTGGCGGTTTTGCTCGCTCTAGATGCATTCCCGAGGAAAATCTGTGTGGGCATGTGCGTTACAGCATCTCCCAGGAAGGGCTGCCGGTGACCACTGCTGGTGACCAGTCACCGAGGGCTGGCCTGGGCTGAGGCTTACCCGACCAAAGCAGCTTCTTCAGAGCAGCCAGCACTCTTCTCTCCAGCCTTGGGAACAAACCAGTTTATTGTGTTCCACCCCCAAACCCCCCCATGGGGGATGTGAAAGCTGGTTGTGGCAGCTGTAACTATAGGGATGTTTTGGGGGTGCCAGGCTGGGGCCCAGCTGGAGCAGAAATCCCAGTTGGTGTCTAGGCTTGGGAAAGCCTCTGCCAGCCCACCTGTCCTTCATGGGCCTCTTAGAAAACACTTTCTTTGGTGTCTGTATAGCACATTTTGGGTGTGGTGCCTGCAACTCCTCATTGGGCCTCCCAGCCAGAAGCAGGAGATTGCCAAGGGCTCTGTCTCTCTGTGGTTCATGCCATATCCATGTGGAAAATCAGAGACTGGGTGACACACAGATGTCCTACTAGTGCCCGTGCTCAAGGAGAGACCTGCCAGCTCAGCACAGGGCTCTTTGTCTTGGTAACACCATCTTCACAGCATGCACTGAATTGCTCAGGATGTGTGCTGCTCTCTGCTGGGGCTGGCCCTCATATGTGGGTGATGCCTGAAAGCAGTTGGTGCTCATTGCTGTAAGGGGCCTCAGACAAAAATGCACCCGAGGACATAATTTTTGCAACTGTGATGGGTCCATCCCGGGCAGGGCAGAGAAACCGACAGACACCTGTGGTAGTCAAAGATAAGAAAGCTGAGAAACTTTACAGATGGAGCAATGAGACAAGACAGGCTTTCTATGAAAAAATCTCCAGAGTTCATGGAAAGGACACTAAGAGACACCTCTTCAACAACCACTAGGGACCACCACAGACCACTGAAAAAAAACCCCAACATAGAAGACCCTCAGAGACCCTTCCTCAAATTTTAGTATGCTTGGGCAATATATTAACATATGCATTAGACCCTCTGAAAATAGGTGTGTACTTCTCAGAAATTACATGAATATTCATTTCCTTTATTGAATATGGAAGTGTGCGTTTGTCTTTTGGCATGCACATTAGGTGGAATGATCCCCCGTGCATCCAGCGCTGCAATACAGACTGCCTGCCTTCTAAAACTTCAAAGTCTTAGGGGCTTTTTTTGAGACTGAATTTACGGTAACATGGGGAACCCCAAAAATGGAGGTTAGGGGATGGAGAGGTGGCCTGAATGTTGTCTTAGTCACAGGGGAAAGTGGGAGTACTGCAGCAGAGGAGATTGGGAGATAGAGGGTACAAGAAATTCATGAGGAAGTTGCACTACGTTTGCTGCCCAAAGAACAAGATATTTTGTGGATAAGTATATGCAGGAAACCATTAACATCTACAACAATGAGCTTCTGTTGTGTTTATGCCTAAAACATCTATAGAATAGGATGCTGGGTTCTGTTCAGAGCTAATACTCTTAGATGTGCATTTTAATAACAAGATTCATGTCTTAAATTTACTCTGCTTTGTTTGGTCTGTGTAGAAAACAACTGATGCCTTGGAACACATTCTGCTGACATTTTTTATACTGTTTTAATAAGATCTTGTAAACATCTCCATGTATTTCTTTAAAAATAGGTGGTAATGAAACCAAAAGGAGAGGAAATATCTGGAAATGAAAGTCAGTTCTTTCTCATCTTATTTGAATAGCACTGCTATGGATTTCCCATGCTGAAGAGGTGTGAACAGGTATTTATGTAGGTGGTGGGTTGAATTCCCACCAAAAATATTTATATTGCAAGGATCAAAATGGTTATAATTCAAAGATTATATTGCATTAAGGGATTTATAATCCTGGGCTGACATTTCTTTTAATTACTTTAAATTTAAAGTTAGTACATTAATTTTCAAATAAATAAATCGATCAGAGTTTGCCCATGAATTAATCTTTCCTCCAAACTACAGTGGAAATTAACATTTCGGGGTGCTGCTCTATCCCTGGTCTTCATCGCGTTTCTTGATTCTAAAGTCGCCACCTAGTGATAAAAGGCGTGAAGAAAACCTTTTAGTTTTGCCACTATAGTACAGGAGACCGGAATAGGTAATTACAATGAATATATAGTATGTAACTAAAGAAAATATATAATAAATATATATATATATATATATTTTTTACTTAAGTGACATGAAGAGTTTCAATTATGAATACTGGCTTCTGAAGGGCAGCTAAGAAGTTTTTCTTATGCACAATGCTGAAAGGTCTTGTCTTGATTTTTCTGATGATTTTACAGGTGAGACCCAGTCCCAGGGGAGTCAGTGTGGGCTCATGTTGCGTCCTCAGATTTTAGAAGCAGACTTCCAGTCAAGAGACACAAGTTTTCTGAACAGACCAGTTTTCCTCAACCCCCCTCTCTAAATTATTTAAAATGTTCCCTACATATCAAGCAAACTCACCTGTCAGAGAAAAAATAAATGCAGTTGATTTTCATGTGCACTGCAGCTTTTTTACTGGGCTTGGGGAATGGCTATGCCATGTGACTACAGCATCTCCCCAGTACTGAGTTTTCTATTTTACTGGCGTAACCTAATCTCCTATAGATATTTTAGGTAATAGAGAAATTAATATATGGGGAATTTGAATTTATTTTAAATGACAGCCCGCACTAGCCAGTTCTCCTGCTAGCTACTTTCACTACTGAGTATTTGCTATGCTGATTTCCAACTGATATGTTAGTTGTCTGGCTATTGCTATGTTCACATTGTAGTTTCACTGAAGCTTGAGCTCTTTTGGGGTTCTGTGATGTACAGGATTATATGGACTTATAAAGCAGACCCTTCCTGCTCGGGGTATTCTCCTTTCCCTAAGGTAAACAATGGGAAGCTGGGAGCCCACATTTCCCAGGGATTGTTTCCTGCAGCAGTGCAGCATTTGGAAACCCTCTAAGACTCCCAGGCATACTGAGCATTAAGCTGGCTCATGTCCAAATAATAATGCTGTAATTTACCCCAATTTTTTTTTTTTTTTTTTAAGAGGAATGCACTTATGAGGAGATTAGGCCTGTCTGGAACTGGCACTGCCACCAAAGTGGGTCTCACTCTCTGACAGATATCAGTAGCTTGAGTTTGTAGGAGCAGGAATGACAAGCCACCTCTGAGTTTGACAACAAGAGGTTTAGCCAAGGAAACCCACGACAATGAGCTCTAATGCTTTTGAAATATATTTTCAGCCAGCATGAAGAGTTTCAGCATTGCAGTTCCCTAGAAGGGACTGTTCTTTTTAGTGTTCACCAGCTTACATCAGCAGGGACTCCCTGTCCCTTCACCAAACACACTGCTCGGTCCATTTATGTCATGCATTAAATACAGACGTAAATTAACCAGATAATAACTGTTTTCTTACCAAAAAGAGCTGTTAGGACTCATAGGGAGGCCCCCAAGTAAGACTATGCCTGGAGTGGAGAAATTGAAAACAGGGTCATCTTCCTTTCTTTCATTCTTTTGTTCTTTCTCTCAATCTTTCTCTCTGTTGAACTCAATCTCCTACAGGGTATGAGAAGAGAATATTACAGGCGATTTGTTATCTCACATTTCTCTGTCTCCTATTATCATCAATGGAAGACATTTCCCTAATTTTAGGGGGAATCCCTGCATATTATAAGCCTGCCCAGAAGCCCTGATAGCTGCTGGCTGACTCTGATGTGTTTCTTGTCATTTTTTGCTATCACTCTGTAGCCAGTAGCAACACAGAAATTGACCTTAATACTTACAATTTCTTAGGAGAAAATATTTTAAGGTTCTATTAAATGTAAAGTTTTCTAAAGCGTAGAGTTTTCAAACTAATTCTAAATGCTTTTTTTTTTTTTTCTTTTCCCTCCTGTACTTTTGCTAATAGTACAACTTTTCTCAGAGACTGGAATTCATTTCTGCATAGAAGCCTTTTTAAGGAATTAATAGGGTTTATGAGTTCCTTAATCCTGATTCTGGCTCTTTGTGCAGGGTTGAATTTCATAGAAAAAGTGAATTTCAGACAAAAGAGACCAAGGGAGTTAACATTTAATCTCTTTTTGTAACACTGAGAGCTTTCTGGTCTCATGAGATTCTGAAGTCATGTTCCATATACAAAAGTTTTTTTTCTGTGTCTTGTAGTCTGGATCACAATTACTAGATGACTTGCATGTTTATGTTGTCTCCTTTGGGAGTTTTTGTTGTTTCTGGTATTTAAAAGTCCTAATAATTGATAAAACATGTAGTTTACTTTGCCATTTGTGTGTGTAAATTAAAATCTTACCTTCAGTGTCTGAAGTATATACAGTCTAATAGTAGGAGAGTACAAGGCTGAATGTACTAAGGTTCAATATCACTATTTGAAGATCACCTATATTTTGCTCCAGTTCCACTCTGGTAAAACTCAGTTTATTCTGTTTTCATTGCCATAAGATTTCAGAAATACCCTGGTCTTTCACAATCACATGGAGTGTGAATTAAATCCTTC